GGATCTTGGGCACGCATGCACACGTACCTGGCGTGAATTTAAGCCACCGGGTACAGGACTCAAACTGCTGTCGAATACATGGGAGTCCAGTGATGTAGCCATTACATCAACTGCTGGTCCCAAGACTGTCTTTCAAAAAAGTTATGAAGAATTTGTGTTTTTTTAAAATTACGTGATCTACTTCTGTCTTCAAAATTTTAAATTTTGTTGTCTTGCAGAAAGCTGGGGTTTACACTAAAAATCATCTCAGTTATAGTCAGAAAACCTTATTCTAAATTTGTATGGTATAAATTGGTTTTTGGCACTGACAGATGGTGTGGTGGTTGAAGCGCTGGATTTCCACGTGGCCAACCATTGTTTGAGTCTCAGACCTGGTGGCTTGCTTTCTCACTTTACCTCTCTCTCTTTCTCTCTCTCTCTGTTTCTCTCTGATCAAATTAAAAAAAAAAAAAACAAAGTTGACAAATTAAAATATTTAAAATAAATTTTAAAAAACAAATAAATAAAATTCTTTTTTGGCTTTTGTTTTCTTTCTTAGCACTAAGTATTTATTTTAAAATCAATATGAAAATTTGAATAAGAGAAAAATGGGCAAAGGATAGAACAAGAAACCATTGCAATGAATGAGTACATTTTAAAAACAAATAGAAAGAATATAAAGAAATGCTTAGAGCCAGAAGCCAAAGGAAAGACTGTTCAAGCCCCTTAACAATCAAAGAATTGTAAGTTAAAATAATAAATTACCATGTTTTGCATATAAATTTGGAAAGAACCAATTTGAGGAAACAGGAATTCATACACTTATTCAATCATAAAATTATTTCAACCTGTCTAGGAGCAATTGGACAAAATGAACTTTAAAATCTTACATATGTATGTCCTATTACTTTTTACCTCTGAGAATCTATCACAATGAAATATATTAAGTGTAAGTGATTTTGTTGTCTTCAAAGTAATTAAATAAAATGTTATTTGAAATAGCAAAGTATTGGACAACATCTAAATAACCAACAAGAACAAAATTAAGTTACAGCACATACTCCAATGTAACATTTGGCTATTAAAAAGTAACTTTAGGCAACGACAGGAGGCATGGTGATTAATGTCCTGAACTCCCACGTGGAGGGCCACAGAGTACCTGACCTCGCAGCTGGCCCTCTCACTTTCCCTCTCTCTCACTCTCTCTTTCTGTCTCCCTCTGGTCAAATTAAAATAATAATAACAATAATAATAATGATAAATAAAATTAAATAAAGAATTCGTTAAAAAACAAAAAATGTAACTTTATACCAGTTTATTGACATGGGAAGATAATGAAGATGCACTAAGTAAAGAAAAGAAAAGGTGGGCCTACCAGGTGGCATGCAGTTAAGATGACTGGATCCTATATTGCTGTCTGCATGGTTCGAATCCCAGACCTAACAACTTGATAAACATGCTAACACTTATCTCTGTCCATGGTCCCAAGAGGAGAATGGAGGAAAAGGGGCTGTGGTGTGATTGTCTCCCCCTGGGGGATGTTTTTATGCTTTTTCACTTCTCCACCCCATTTCTCTCTGGCAAGTACATGCACTCCATAACAAATTTTATCTTTTTTTTTTTAATTTTTAAGTCTTTTGTAAAAAGAATTATTTTATTTAACTTTATTTATTTATTTATTTAGTTTGACCAGAGAGGGACAGAGAGGGAGTGGGGGGGAAGTGAGAAAGCAAGCCACCGGATCCAAGACTTGAACCGCAGTCAGCCATGTGGGAGTCCAGTGCCCTTAACCACCACACCTCCTGTCAGCCCCATAGCAAATTTTAAAAAGAGAGAAGGAGAAGGCTCAGCCTGGTAGTATAATCAGCAGCCAACTGAACTGCCACACTGGAAATCATGTGGCCCTCTGTGCTTTGGATCTCCAGGTCAGCTGAAAACATTCGCTGTGTGTCTACTCGCGCCTGAGATCCTGGCAAGCTGGAAGGCTGAGAACAGGGGTTCATGAGAACAGGTTCATGAGACCCTGTTAAGGATCTTTCTCTATCTCTCATACATGGACAAAGCTTAAAAATCAAACTTAAAGACAAAGAATAAATTTTAAAATAATTGTTAGAATGTAGGATAAACACAGTTACATATTTTGGAGGAAGGCTCATAGAACAGAAGGATTATGTGTATACGGACATACTGGTAGTTGGTTATTTGTGGGTGAATAGATTGTGGTTGCTTTTAAATGTATTTCTTATTTGTTCATGGTCTCTGGACGTTTCCACGGTGAACACACTTGCTTTTATGGCATTGTCAGAAAAGTCATGATGCATTTTTGCATAGAAAAAATACGTCAAGACTTTTCTGATAACCCAACATATTAAAATGTAAAGATAATACATTTTTGTTCTAAAATGTCTCTGGGAAAATCATAAATACATGGACAAAGAGCATGAGCAAACAATTTACATTAGGAGACACCTGTTTGGCCATCCTGTATGTGACAAGTGTTTGAATTCACAAGCAGTAGAAGAAATGCAAAGATCATGTCAATAGGTTGTCGCTGGTACCCGTCAGATTGGCAAAACAAATTTTAAAAAAAAAGAAAAAAGAAAAATACAGTTAGAAACAGGAGAAATAGAATTCAGATGGGAAGCTAAACTGATCAATCCATTCTGGTGAGTCTGGAAGGCCATTGGAGAGAACACATTTAGTAGATTTTTCTGCTGTGACCAATTCAGCTTCTGGGAGTCAGAATTTTTATCACAGTGTTGCGTGCAGTACCAGAGTGTTGGCTTCCACTGAAGGGCATCCAGCTTGGGGCAGAGGACAAGTGAATTATGGCTGTGGTCACCATGGAATTCTGTGTAGCCAAAGTAAGTTGTGGGCCTGTGGTCAGCAACGTGGTTAAATCTGAAAAGACCCACAGTGAGAGCTGCCGGATAATACACAGGGCACCTTATTGTATTTGAATTTTTTATAAACAACCAGTACATTTTTTAGATAAGTATATTCCAAATACTTGTTAAATCTGGCAACTCTAGCTATGGCATAATATAATTTATGAAAATTACAATTATGTACACAGGCAAATCGACCCAACATAGTTCATAAAATTACGTATCAAACATATTGATAGCTATTGTGTTTGTAGGAGAGGACAGAGGGGATTAAAAAGGAGAGTGAAAGGGAGGGAACTGAGAGAGGAAAAACTGAAAAATACTCTATGGAATATTATTCAGCCATAAAAAACAACAAGACCCTGGCATTTGATAGAAAGTGGTCAAATATGGAAGATTTATTGCTGAGTGAAGCAAGCCAGGCTATGAAAGAAAGATATTCTATGTATATACTTAGTATATGTTGACTATCCAAACTCTACGGTAGAGATTGAAATACTGGAGGGCATAAAAGCAGTGAAAATAATTGTGAATGCTGAAGATAGTGTGGAATGGGATGGAGGAGAAGGGAAGAGTATAGAGAAGGAAAAATAGGCATGGCATTTGTGAGACACAGAAATGGTTTATGACCTGTTGATGGTAATATGTATAGTATTCTCGACTAGACAGGCCTTAGAAGTATTTCATGTTACATAAATTCTCTTTACAAGCCAAATGATGTATAGCAAGTGACTGTTTAAACATATATATGTGTGTGTGTGTGTGTGTGTATACATATATTATGTGTGTGTATACACACACACACATATATATATATGCTTAAACATATATATATATAATACACACACACACACATATATATATATATATGTTTAAACAGTCACTTGCTATACATCATTTGGCTTGTAAAGAGAATTTATGTAAAATAAAAAATAAAAATAATCTAAAAAATGTAAAGCTATTTGCTGATAATGATGTGAATAGTAATTTCTTTGTCTTGACCGATATGTGTGGTAATCATGCTGGAAAAATAAATGTTATGTACTGTAAAGATAGATGTGATTAAATGTAATATGAAAATAATAAGAAAAGGAAAGGAGAAAAGGGGGAAATAGAAGTAAAAGATACAAAAAACATGAAAAATAATTTTTAAAAGTTAAAGATTTTTTAAAAAGAAATATATACATTTTACATGAATAAAGAAATAAACTGGACCCAACTGTGGTGGGACACTAGTAAATAAACTGCTTCTCTGGAGGCTGGAGCCACATGGGAGACCGGGGTTCAATTCCTGGCTCACCCTAAAAAATAACTGGGCACTTGTAGTCCCAGCTACTTGAGAAGCTGAGGCACAAGGATTGTGACGGAGTGCGAGTCTGTCTTTAAACAGTAAATAAACAACGAGAGACAGCCTTACATGGACAGGTGTTGATAGCGATCCGAGTGTGCTCAATTAAACTCTCTATACCTAAGTTCAGAAAAAGAAATATAAAAAGTTTTTCTGTAACCCCCTGGAAATTTCTTTACAAAAAAGCCCTATGGGGTACTCTGGCACTTCTAGGAAAATTAAGTGGCAGGACAGTAAGTAGGAGACATGAGACTTGCAGGGAATTAAAAAACCTTAAAAATGTTATAGACTTAATAAAAAATGAAACCAACAAACCAGTTAAGAACATTATTTTACTTGGATTTACTCTTTAATAGAGAAATATGCCTACATTCTTATAGGGTAAATATTAGTAAAAGAGTGTCAGTAAGGGACCAGCAGATGGTGTAATAGTTACGTTGCTGAACTCCCACATAGTCAACCACAGTTCAAGTCCCAGACTTGGTGGCTAAGATTCACGTCAGGCGTGTGTGTCTGTGTGCATGCCAAAGATCCTAAGAAGAGAGGGGAGGAGAAAGGATTGTGGCGTGGCCATCCTACCTTGGCAGGTGGGGTGATTTCTCACTTTCTGTCTCTTTGTTTCTGTGTCCCTATAGCAAAAATTTCTCTTAAAAAAATCAGTAAGCACAAATCCTTACCTATTGCCATAGAAATAGCTAGAAAAATAGTTTAAATATACCGATTGGAAAATGGGGATTCAATGCATGTCAACTCTTTTAAAACGTTTTTCTTTTTTAATATTATAGCTGATTACAAGGAGAGCTTTAATACTATTGGGAACATTGAAGAGATTGCATATAATGCTGTTTCCTTTACCTGGGACGTGAATGAAGAGGCAAAGGTGAGTAGCAGAGCTGCATTTTCCTCGCCTGTACCTTTTAAATAAGTGCCCCTTCTCTGCAGTTGGTTCATTTTCAAACGCCTCTATGGGTAGTCTCCTATTAGTTTGAGCCCCAACTAAGGAAGTGAACTTGATCTCTTCCTCCAGAAGTCACACACATCCAGTTATGCTCAGCTCAATTGCCTTTTTAAAGAATAAGGGAAGAGAGACCAGGGTCCCTCTGGCCTCCCACAGAATGTAACAAACCAAGCTACATGTCCCAGTCTTCCTGGATCCCAGCTTCAATTTAGCACTAGGCCAGAAAACCTTTTCTCTCTGCACTGCAGATTCCCCCAAAGGCCCCTCTCAGACCTGTCCGCGCACCCTCCTTCTAGAGACAAGGAAAGGCTCCGAGTTAATGTCCCCATATATAAGCCATTGGGTGGGTCTCCTGACCCCACACCCCCTTCCAGGCTTAAGTGGTTGAGGGAGCGGTGCAGGAAGCAGGGCTGTAGGTCTCTGAGCTTCAGACAAGTGCGTTGGCTGTGTAACCTCCTGCTTCTCGGACTGCCAGTAGGATTAAGAAGTGCAAGGACGATCTCTCTGACGAGGTGTACCTAAGGAGAAGACGTTCATCCTTGCTCTGGTTTAGACAAGAAAGCAGATTTGCTGCTACCCAGATTTGTTTTCCAGACATGAGTCTCTTTGATTTTATGAAAACTCCAAACCTTCCTGCTGTGCCCATCCTTCCTTCCACGTTCCTTGGTCTCTGATCCTTGCTTATTATTTTGTCCTTGAGGGAAGCTTCCAGATGAAACTTAAGCATGTTTTCTGCTTCAGTAATGCAGTATCTAGGAGGGTGTTAGAAGGCTGTCTTCCAGCCCAGGAAAAGGTCAATGTAAACATCTCGCTCAATGCGTTATTGTCTGAGAGCAGGAGGACGCTGGCTGAGAAAGGAAGCTGGTTGGGAGTTTGCAAGCATGACCTACAGAAGAAAGTCTCTCATTTCACTCAAGGAGAAAACAATGTAGGTGACATTGGCTTTAGGCCCAAGAAAGGTGATCCAAATGGCCACACAGTGACAAGTGCCGGAGCGGCATGGAGAATGTTCTAGAGGCTCAGTGTCTATCAAGGAAGGAAGCAGGCCTGGCCACAGGATGTGAGATTGGGTCCCACATGGAACTGCAGATGAGTTTGTCTGTAAGACCTCCTTCTCCTCTCTTTAAATTTTCCTCCCAAGCCATGTGCTTTCAGTATTTTTAAGTGTATTTATTTATTTATTCCATGAATAAAAGAGATGAGAGAGACAGACACCCCACACACAGGTCCTAACCTGCAAAGCACCCGAGCTTCAGCCGGCCCTGGACTGTGGGCATGCACTTGCTGGCCTGTTTAGGAAGGTCTCTGGATGCAAAGTCGGAATCTTCCCACACGTGTAAGCCTTGCAGAGCAGTGCATTTCACCGCGGCACCACCATCTGGGCCCTCGCACTTTATTAATCTGCTCAGGGCCCCTGCGACTGCCCTCTCCTAGGAACACCACATCTCCAGTTGCCAGGTCGGCCCTTTCCTGTGTTCCTCCTAACACCTCCTGTGTGCAGTCCAAACTTGCTCTTCCTCCCGGAGGCCAGATGCTGGACTCTCACTCAGGCGTCTGGATGACAGCACAGCACTGAGTCCGGAGGGGATCTTTGCCAGCCGCCGACCCTGGAAGGGCCTCGTTCCTGCATTCAAAACTGCAAACAGTTCCCAGGGCCCTGCGGCGCCAGACACCTCGCTGAGGTTTTGAAGCGCGGTGAGCGAGTGCAGGGACACCGAGGCAGGGCAATCACGAATCCTAACCGCACAGCAGCGAGACTAGGGAGCGGCGGGGCCTCCCTTGAGTCAGGGAGAGAAGTGTGATGGTGGAAGAGGAGGTGTCTCCTCAATGTGGAAGCGAGGTCTAAGTATGAGCTGTGAGCACCGCCATCGTGGTCATTGCTGGGCAGTCTGTGAGAATGAGTGTAGTGGCTGCCTATGGCAGGAAATGCCTAAACCGGCAGGGACAGCCTTACCTGGTGGCTTCCCTGAGCTTTCTATACCAGTGGATAGTTCATCTGGGGCCGAGCTGACCTTCCAGCCCAGTTCAGACCATACCTTTCATTTCCCACAGGGAGGAGATGACCGTCCTGTTTAAAGGTGTGTGTGCCCGAGATATGGACACACGTGCTGTTCCAGGCAGGCAAGGCTAAGCTCACATAGGCCTCAACTGACAGCAGTGGATGATATATATATATATTTTTTTTTCTTTTTTTGGTTAGGTTTTTGCTATAGGGTGCGTGCGCTCGCCAGACAGACAGAGAGAGACAGAGAGATAGAAAGCGAGAAATCACCCCCCAGGGGGGATGGCCACGCCGCAATCCCTTCTCCTCCATTCTCCTCTCAGGATCTTCTTGGGCACGCACGTACACGCGTCTGGCGTGAGTTTCAGTCACCGGGTCCTGGACTCAAATCGCGGTCGACTATGTGGGAGTCCAGCGACATAGCCATTATGCCAACTGCTGGCCCCCAGTGGATGATATTTCATGTTGCATATTGTGGCAAAATGTGTTTTATTTCCTTAATATGTATTTTTAGTGACTAGTCCTTGGTTGTTGCAAGGTCTGAGTTAATCAGTAAGTAATAAAGTTCCAAGTAATGTTTTTCAGACTACCAAAGGACTTTTAAAGACAACACCATAAAAATTAAATTTACTTCATTAGGGAGACTGAGAGGATATTTTTTTATCCACACAGCCTAAGGCTTTTCTTTAAAATATGATTGATTTTATAAGTAGATTGCAAAGAACAAGATCATGTGGTTGCTGGTAAAAAAAGGTTTTTAACAAAGCAAGAAGTAAAAGACATCCCTCTTAACACAAAATCATTTGTGATTTTCGTATTGTGGACTTCTTAAGATTAGCTGCATTTGCTTTTAAATTCCTATTAGTAACATTACACAGAGATTTTTTTTTTTAGGCATCAGGGATGGGGTCCCATAAAGTGTCACATGATATTTTATTAATAGCTTGTGTGGCTGCAAGACTTGTGATTTACAGGGTTTATATGGTCCACAGAATATATATGTGTATGTGTGTGTGATGCATTTATGTATTTATGGGGTTTTTTTGAGAGTTTTTTTTGCTATAGGGTGCATGTGCGCTCCAGACAGAGAGAGACAGAGAGACAGAAAGCAAGAAATCACCCCCCAGGGAGTATGGCCACACCGCAATCCCTTCTCCTCCATTCTCCTCTTGGGTTCTTGGGCATGCATGCACACGCGCCTGGCATGAGTTTTAAGCCACCGGGTCCAGGATGCGAACCGTGGTCGACTACGTGGGAGTCCAGCAACATAGCCATTACGCTAACTACTGGTTCCCTTTGGTTTTATGTTTTGAAATTTTTTTTTTTTTTTTGAGAGGATTTTGCTATAGGGCACGTGCACTCGCCAGAAAGTCAGAGAGAGAGACAGAAAAACAGAAAACTAGAAATCACCCCCTGGAGGATGGCCACTCCGCAAATCCTTTTCCTTCGTTCTCCTCTCGGGATCTTGGGCACACATGCACACGCGCCTGGCATGAGTTTAAGCCACCGGGTCCGGGACTCAAACCGCAGTCAACTACATGGGAGTCCAGCGACATAGCCATTACGCTAACTGCTGGTCTCTTTATGTTTTGAATTTTAACATACTTATGCCCACATTTAATAATCAGGAGATTTTTGTTTTGTTTTGTTTAGAGAGATTTTTGCTATAGGACACATGTGCTTGCCAGAGAGACAGAGAGAGACAGAGAAATAGAAAGCGAGAAATCACCCCCCAGGGAGAATGGCCTCATTGTAATCCCTTCCTCTCCATTCTCCTCTTGGAATTTTTGGGCATGCATGAAATGCGCCTGGGATGTTTTAAGCCACCAAGTCCGGGACCAGAATCATGGGCAGTTACGTGAGAGTCCAGCAATGTAACCATTACTCCTACTGCTGGTCCCAGGAGATTGTTTTTTTAGATCCACATTTCTAGATTCTTTTGGCTAATGAAAGATTCTGACAACCATGAGCCGTAAAGTGTGCAGGTCCATGAGTGGTTATTGTGACTTACTGGCTGCTCTCATCATTGCTTTCTCTAGTTTTCTCCATTCTGAAACTTGCCCTGCCTGGCCCTGGTCAACACTGAGTTCTCATGCTCAGACAACTGATAAGTTTGCAGGTTAGACTCCACTGGCTTTTAGTGACACGAAGGAGTTTGAAACCAGAGGGAAGCTTAGCCTGGCCTTGGCTCAGAGCCATAGGGTAAGGAAAGCCCCCAATGTTCCCTGGTTGCTGATGAGTCTTAGAGTGACCCAGTGGCAACCAGCCAGAGGCAGACTGGTGTCGCCATATTGAAGGGAGATGCTTCTGAATGCCCACAACGGTGGTAAATCTTGTTCTTTTGAAGGTGGGTAGGAAAAGAATACCAGAAATCAATTGGCTCCATGTGACTCCATATCAATGAGTTGGATATTACAACTTTAGGGTTAAACATGAGATTTCTTCCCCCTTAAGGTTTTGTAAACCAGTTTTGAAGCAGTGTTAGAAGAGATAGTACAAATATGCTTTGAGCTTTGGCAACATCATTTGAGAAAACTGTATTTCTTCCCAAGATAATTATGTTAAAGTTAGCTTCTAATTGGTTATCTAAGTTTTGGTGCATTTATCAAAAAAAAAAAAGTTCAGTATTTGGTAATCTCACCGCCTACATACAATTAAGACCAGATGATAGGTTTGTAGATTTTTCCAGATCACACTCCTTCTTCTTTGCTTTTGTTGCTGACAATATTTTATTTCTATCTCGTTTACAACAGAAGGAAGGAAAGAACACAAAACTCTAATCATTTCGTTTAATTAACTATAGGAAAACACTTGGCCAGGGAAGGTGTTAAAACTATCAGTAACTATGAAGCCGAGGGTTAATTCTCCATGGCCAGGGCATCTGTAGCACCCTGAATCTGGCAGGACTGCTGCAGAGCTC